TTTCCTGCAAATGACACTTCATTTTTCTTTATGGCTGAGTAAAATTCTATTGTGTATGTATACCACATTTTCTTCATCCATTCATTCATTGATGAACACCTAGGCTGGTTCTGTAGTTTAGCTACTGTGAATTGTGCTGATATAAGTATGGGTCTGCATGTGTCACTATAGTATGATGACTTTAATTCTCCAGGGACCCAGCTATGCTACCAAGGAGTAGCATAGGTGGGTCCCTGGAGGTTCCATGCCTAGCCTCTTGATGAACCTCTATACTGATTTCCATAGTGGTTTGTCTACTTTACAATCCCACCAACAGCGTAAAAAGTGTTCCTTTTTCTCCACATCCTCTTCAGCACTTCTTATTATTTTGTTCTTGATGGCTGCCATTCTGACTGGTGTGAGATGAAATCTCAGTGTAGTTTTGATTGGCATTTCCCAATTGCTAATGATATTGAACATTTTTTTCATATATTTGTTGGTCATTTGTATTTCTTCTTCTGAGAAATGTCTCTTTAATTCATTTGCCCATTTATTAATTGGGGTTTTTTTGGGGGGTGTGGGGTTGGTGTTAATTTTTTGAGTTCTTTATATAATTTAGATATTGATCTTCTGTCAGAAGAGAAGCTAACAAAGATTTTCTCCCATTCTGTAGGTTCTCTTCACATTCCTAATTATTTCTTTTGCTGTGCAGAAGCTTTTTAATTTGATGCCATCCCCATTATTATTAACTCCTGGCATTATTTCTTGAGCTTTAGGTGTCCTTGGGTTTAATCTATCCCCAGGACTGAAAAAAGAAAAAAAATCAAGCTTTAGGGGTCCTACTGAGAAAGTTGTTGCCTGTGCCGACATGCTGGAGAGTTGACCCTGTGTTTTCTTCTAGGCGTTACATAGTTTCTGGTCCAATTCCTACATCTTTGATCCATTTTGAGTTGATTTTTTTTGCAAGGTGGGTCTACTTTCATTCTTCTCCATATGGATAAACGGCTTTCCCAGCACCATTTATCAAAAAGGCTCTTTTTCTCCAGTATGTTTYTGGCCCCTTTGTAAAGGATCAGATAACTGTATCTGTGTAGGGTTGTCTCTGTGTCTTGTATTCTGTACCATTGGTCTATGTGTCTGTTTTTATGTCAGTACCATGCATATTTTGTTACTATAGCTCTGTAGTACCATTTGAGGTCAGGTATTATGATGCCTCCAACATGGCTTTTTTGGCTTAAATTTGCTTTGGCTATTCTGGCACTTTCATTCTTCCAAATGAATTTTAGGACTGTCTTTTTATTCTGTGAAGAATGTCATTGGTATTTTTATGGGGACTGCATTGAATCTRTAGATTGCTTTTGGCAGTCTGGCATTTTAACAATATTCTACCTGTTCATGAGAGGACAGACTGCAATTTTCTGCATGCATGTTATGCTTCAGCCTTAAAGATAATAACAGTAGAATCTAATGAAATTTTAAGGGCTGGGGATATGGCTCAAGCGGTAGCGCGCTCGCCTGGCATGCGTGCGGCCCAGGTTCGATCCTCAGCACCACATACCAACAAAGATGTTGTTTCCGCCGAGAACTAAAAAATAAATATTAAAAATTCTCTCTCTTTCTTTCTCTCTCTCTCTCTCTCCTCTCTCACTCTCTCTTTAAAAAAAAAAAAAAAGAAATTTAAAAAAAATGTGCAAGAGAAAATCAATGAAGTCAAAAGTTGGTTCCTGGGAAAAAAAAATTAAAAAGCAACAGTAGCAGCAGCCATCTAGCAAGACTGATCAAGGAAAAAGCAGATGGCAAACCTAATCATTCATCTGGTAATAAGAAGCTGTGTTACCAGACTTAAGAGGATACTGTGAATATGCTAAAAAATTGAAAAGATAGATGAAATTGAAAGTGTCCTACACCTAACAAAACTAACAGAAGGAAAAAAAAAACGGAAAAATCAAAATAACCTTATATTCATTAAAAGACTTGAATGTGTGAATTTAAAAACTAAACAAAATTTTCCTATAAAAGAAACACCCACATGCCTGTAATCCCTGGAACTTGAGAGGCTAGGGCAGGAGGATGGCAAGGTGGTGGCCAGCCTCAGCAACTTAGCAAGACCTTGCCTCAAACTTTTAAAAATGGGGCTGGGGTTGTGGCTCAGTGCTAGAGCACTCACCTAGCACATGTGAGGCCCTGGGTTTGATCCTCAGCACTACATAAAGATAAATAAATAAAATAAAGGTATTGTGTCCATCTACAACTTAAAATAAATAATAAATATTTTTTAAAAACTGTGGATGTACCTCARTTGTAAAGCGCCCCTGGATTTAATCACTAGTAACAAATACCACCATCACTACTACTACTAATAATAATATAAAAGAAACTCTAGGGCCAGATAGTTTTTTTTCCTACATCCCTAGCCTTTTAATTTTTCATTGAGACATAGGGCCTCATTAAATTGCTTAAACTGTCCTTGAACTTTTTAATATATACCTCAGCTTTCTTAAGAACTAGGACTACACGTGGGTACCTCCCCACCTAGGTTAAATTTTAATTTTACCAAATATATGTATTAAAAATGGGAAAGGGGCTGAGGTGGTGGCTCAGTGGTAGAGCACCTGCCTAGCATGTGCAAGGCACTGGGTTGATTCTCAGCACTGCATATTAAAAAAATAAGTAAAGGTCTATTGACAGCTAAAAAAAATTTTAAAAATAAAGGGGAAAAATAAAATCGAACATCTGTATTTTTCGTCTGAATTTTCTCCCCATTTCGGGGTTAAGTTTACATAGCTCTAAGATCCTGGAAGGAGGCACATGACTCTTTAACCCCTTGTCACTCACTTGGCAGTCATGATGGAGCCTGCTGTGAACTGGGCACAGTGATAACCAGTGGCAAACAGGAGGACAAGGAACCACTAAGCCACATCCCCAGCCCGTTTTTCTGTTAGAGACTGGGTCTCACTGAGTTGCTTAGGGCCTCGCTAAATGGCTAAGGCTGGCTTTGAACTTGCGATCCTCCAGCCTCCACTTCCTAAACCACTGGGATTACACGTGTGCTCCACTTTTATATTTTGAGACGGGGTCTTGATAAGCTGCCCAAACCGGACTCAAACTTGTGATCCTGCTGCCACCGCCTCCCAAGTCACTGGGATGATCGGCATGTGCCACCGTGCCCTACCTGACGTGGCTTTGGTTGGGAACCTGTCGTGAAGGCTGCAGTCCACACCATTCCTCATGTTCTGCTCTCAAAGCCCTCTCGCTAATCTGATTTTTGAAGACATCTTCCCCTTGACCACAAAAGTACGGTGGCACTGCTCTCTAATACTGCAAAACCAAGACCCTGACAGATTTTAAACTGATGAGAACTTGACAAGGCTGTTGGGGTATATTATCTTTTAGGATAGATGGAGGTAACATCCCGTGGTAAAAACAAGAGTAAAAGAGTTCTGAGAACTGTGAACTGTCATCCTTTTTTCTATATGAGTTAATCCAACAGATGGGTGGTTTTCAATCTTGGGCCCCTTCAGTGGGCTGTGAGCACCCCGGGCTTCCATTCCAGATAAGTAAGGAGYGTCTCCAATTAGGTGTGCTTTCCCCAGCCAGCCAGGCTCTGCAGACCACCACATGTGCACGGTTTCTTCCTGTCACCATCCTCCCCAATTTACTGGTATGAAAAATGGAGTTGAGACTTGCCCCAGGTCTGACAGTTAGGAAGTGGCAGGACTAAGATATGAACCCAGAGGCTGGAGTAGTAGCTCAGTGTGAGACACTGGGTTCGAGTCTTGGCACCATGTATAAATAAATAAACGTCCATTGACAACTAAAAAAAATATTTAAAAAATATATATAGGAACCCAGGTAAGAAATTCAGAAGGAGTTAGAATAAAGGGAACACTGGGAGGCTAAAACATTGCCAAAGGTAAAGTGACTCTAGGGGGAACAACTGCAGTTGTGTCATAGCATGATGGGGACCAGGGTGTCTCCAGCTGTATTTGGGYCACTGGGGGTATCACTTTCTTTCCTCCTTCATCCCATTCCCTCCACCCCCTTATTTTTCCCTCCCTCCTGTCTGTCAATCATCCTTCCTTCCTCTCCCGGATTTTGTTTTGCATAGGTATGTGACAATCCCCCCCCATACACACACACATACTTTCTTTGTAATAGAACATTCCACCTATTTAGCCACCTTCTATGAGCAAACCCTCGGCTGCACAGGGAGGCTATACAGATACACCAACCATGGTCCCTGCCCTGCAAAAGTTTTTCCTCCTCTTTCAGTGTTGTTACAGGAAGCAGTTCCCCTGCTCCCAGGAATTATCTCTGCAGCTTGTAGGATCGCCTCTGCTTCTTGCAAGGAACGTGAGGTCCATGCTCTGAGAGGGACCCAGCATTCATGATGATGCCCAACTGAATGGGCCCCTTTGACCTCCTTCCTCCAGACCTCATATCCATCTTGAGGAGCTGGTTGGGGGATGGCTCCTGAGACCTGCCTGTCTGAAGGCTGCAGGCCCTGGAGTCCCTTGCCCCGGSTGTGTGCACTGAATGTACAGCAGATCATGTGGCTGAGACCCCCCTCCAGGAATGGAGAACAGAGAAGGAAAGTGCATCTCTAGGAGGAAGCAGCTCAGTGGATCTTTTCTGTGCAGAGGAAAGTCAGGGAGCGGCGGTGTGCAGAGCCGTAAACGCAGGACCCTGGGCCAGGACAGCAGTCAGACACCTGTGACTGCCTCACTGGGCTCCTGGACTGGCCTTGGTCACTGCTGCATGCGGTCAGGCAGACCAAGCCTCTGTTCTCCTGAAGGAGTAGGTGTCTGGGGCGAGGCTTTGTTATTCCTTCCCCTGTCCCAGTTATCCCAGCAGATGCTGGAACCAAGGCTAGCCTGGGCCTGGTTCTCAGCCCACCTCCCTTGGGGCACTTCTTGCCCCATTGCTGCTGGATTCTGTCCATCAGGCTCCCATGCTCCTCAGGGCAGCCCGTACATCCTGGGTTGATGGTTTTGTGTGTCTCTGTCTCTCTCTCCTTCCAGGGGCAGGTGTGGATTAAYGGCTTTAACCTTGGCCGCTATTGGCCGGCACAGGGCCCCCAGATGACCTTGTTCGTGCCACGGCACATCCTAACAACCTCGGCCCCAAACAACATCACGGTGCTGGAACTAGAGCGAGCGCCCTGCAGTGGCTGTGGCCCGGAACTGTGCACCGTGGAGCTGGTGGACACGCCTGTTATCAACAGACCTGTGGCCAACAATTATTCCTTCTCAGAACTGCCTACTAAAGACTTGTGGCAAGACTATGAATGACGATGGTGACCCTTTGGGATTCTGGCCCCCCGCACAGACCTCGGACCTTGTTTTGCTGACATTCTCAGGAAAGTGGGTTTAGAAAATGAATTTAGGGGATGTGTTTTCACCTGAGGTCTCTTTGCAGCCACGCCGTGTCCATGCCCCACCCTCAGGGGCCACCTTGGATGTGTGAGGAAGGTGACAGCAGTGATACCCAGGCAGATCTGCAGAGTCGGAGTGGAAGCATTGGAAGTCTTCCTGATTTTGACTTTAATTTTAATTAAGAATCATGTTGTCTTTTTGCTAAATAAATTTATAATGAAATATGATGAGCCTGGGGTTTTTTTGTTTGTTTGGTTTCTGGTACTGGGAATTGAACCCAGGGGAACTTAACCATTGAGCCACATCCTCAGACTCTTTTTGTATTTTATTAGATACAGGGTGTCACTGAGTTGCTTAGGGCCTTGCTAAGTTGCTGAGGCTGGCTTTGAACTCACGGTCCTGTTTTTAATGTTGGGCAGGTATTAAGCTATGTGGTCTGACTTAAATCACAACTAGACTTGAGTGGGCTGAAGAAGCCACTTCACTAGCTTGAGGATCAAAGGAACAGAAGAGAGTCTTGGTTTGATTTAATGGACGGTTGCTTTTCCGATCCTTATTTGACTTGCTTGTGAATTTCTGTGATATCTACTAGGCAACCTGTGAGTACAGCTCCAAACAGTTATGCAAACAACCTAAGCGATCAATGGTTGCCTGGTGTATGCGGTATGGTCCTTCTGTACAGTAGACAGTATTTAGCTGTGAAAATGGTGATGTAGCCAGGCACGGTGGCTCACACCTGTAATCTAAGCAGTTCGGGAGATGGAGGCAGGAGGATCGTGAGTTCAAAGCCAGTCTCAGCAATTTAGTGAGGCACTAAGCAACTCAGTGAGACCCTATCTCTAAATAAAATACTAAATAGAGCTGSGGATGTGGCTCAATGGTCGAGTGCCCCTGAGTTTAATCCCTGGTACTTAAATATAGATCTGCATCACTTTTTTATTTATATAAAAATATCTTTCATATTGTATCAAGTGATCTCATTCTGCTTACCACAGTCATGTGTAYGTGCCGTGGACAGGCCTATACAGGTGGGGGACACTGTTGTATTGTATGCCTGTCTGGACATGGGCAGTAGCTCTCAGTTATTATGTTTTCTTCCATGCATGCTTCTGAGCAGAGCATATGTTTAATTTACTTTCAGAAGATTGCTGAGGAATGTACCATCACCTTCCTGATTTCCCAGATCATACTGTTGTAAGTGGCAGAGATGGAGTTGGAATCTGGCTAGTCTAAGCACATGTTGCCTGTGTAATCCCCACCTATTCTGCATTGGAAAGGTTTGGCATCACATCAATGAAATGTTGATATGATTATCTCAGGACCATAGGCATTTGGGAGTGGTTCACTTTTTCTCATCTATATTTGCTTTTTTCTTGTTTTTGTTTTTGATACCAGAGATTGAACTCGGGGGAACTTAACCACTGAGACACATCCCCAGCCCTTTTTTATATTTTATTTAGAGACAGGGTCTCGCTGAGTCGCTTAGGGCCTCTTCAAATTGCTGAGGCTGGCTTTAAATTCACAATCCTCCTGCCTCAGCCTCCCAAGCCACTGAGATTACAGATGTGCACCACTGCTCCTGGCTTGTTTGAAGTTCTTTACAGAGAACGTGGTTTTTGTAAAGGAGGGAGAAGGGAAGGATGTTTTGTGCTGGTCTACAACATTTTCRTTGGCAGTGTGTTTTCCCTCTCTCATAGGCACAAATAAGAACTACCTGGGATTCAACAGAGGATTTTAAAACTCTGGGTGAGCCAGCTGCAGGAGGTATAGATGGGTTGAGACCAACAGACTGGACCCTAATTTTTAAACTCAGCCTCTTTCTCTAGAGGTCTGCACAATTTGATGTTTGGATGTGGTCCACGAGGTGAAGGAGGAGCTCCATGGATCCACAGCCTCATTACCCTTCCACTGTTAAATGACCGAAAACATAAAGCCATTCCCCAGGACTGGCCAAACACTGGTAAGTTTTGGAAAGAAATGTGAGGCTGTTCCTTTGAAAGCATATGTATTTAATAAATTGYACTTCCTCAAAGACCAGCACAGAGTCCCTAGACGTCGGGCAGTGGAGAGGAGTGACCTCACTGGATGGTGCACTTGCCTCATACTTGATCATCTGATCTTCAGGACCACACTGTGAGGTAGGTAGCAGCAAACCTGTTTACAGATGTGAACATTTAAAACTTCAGCACAGAACAGTTGGTTCTAAACCTCATCTATCTCCCTCCAAAAAACCAGAGTATTTTCACTTGTCGCTGAGAGACTCTTATGGGGTTCCATCCCTTCCCCCTTCTAATGTTCCATCCCTTGCCCAGAAGTTTCTGGAATCTTCAAGCATACATAGTACCACCCTGGACCCTACTCAACCCATCCTCCTCCTTCTGCTGCCTCTCATGGGCATTGCTTTTGCTATCTACAATGTCGTGTGTGTGTGTGTGTGTGTGTGTGTGTGTGTGTGTGTGTGTTGCTGGGGATTGAACCCAAGGCCTTATGCATGCCTGGTCAGCACTCTACCAACTGAGCTATATCCCCAGCCCCTACCATGTCATTCTTAAAAGTAAGATGTGCCTTCCGTCATTCCTAATTTCTCTGAATAACCTTGTTTTGGATCTGTCTGTCCATGAATTGATGATTTAAAAGTTAATTCTATATATGAGTGTTATCTCTGAAAATAAGGGCAACTGTATTACCTGCTATTTAGACTTCTTAGATTGAATCTATCATAAAGCAGACTTGAGTATTCCAGGTTTTCTGAKCAGGCCTGCGCTAACCTAGCCAGACCCTTGATGGTCTCTGAAGTTTACCACATTCTCCATCACCCTTCCAGGGAACCACTGTGATCTGGGTTTATATGCAGCCCACATTTATATGACCTGCAGAATATCCCGATTTAAACAGTTTGATTGATATGGAGTGTACATGCCATAAAACTCGTCTAGATTTAGGGACAATTTTCATGAGTTTTACCAAATTTATGCAGCTGTGCCGCCATCACCAAATTAGAAGACTTCCTTCACCCCAGAAAGTTCTCTCCTGCCTATAATCAATGTTCACTCCCACCTCTACTGCTAGGCAATGTTTAGCCTGTTTTCTGACCCTGCAGGGATGCCTTTCTTAGAAATTTCTTAGCCAGGTGTGGTAGCACTTACCTGTAATCCCAGTGGCTCAGGAGGCTGAGGCAGGAGGATCACAAGTACAAAGCCAGCCTCAGGAATTTAGTGAGACCCTGTCTCCAAAWAAAATATACAAAGGATCTGGGGATATGGCTCAGTGGTTAAACACCCCTAAATTCAATCCCTGGTACCAAAAAAAAAGAAAAAGAAAAATTTCTTGTAACTGGGATCACAGGGTATCATCTTCTTTGTCAGGCTTCTTTCCTTTATCATAAATGTRTTTGAGGTTTATCCATGGTGTAGCATGTACATTGCCATATACATATACAATAGAATATGCACCATGTTTTGTGTGCCTGGTTGTCAACTGATAAACATTTGAATGGTTTCCAGGTTTGGTTTTGTTTTGGTACCAGGGATTGAACT